TTGCTGTAGGTGAACATCAAAGATGAAGAGCAACTTTATCCGCTTGTTGAATTCCTTCAAAACAAAATTGCTACACCCAACAATTTGCTATTCGATGACTTCCAGTGAGTTGATTATCCGCATATCCCTTTTTCGAAACTTTAGAAACAATATTTGGTTTAGATTCGACAAAAATCAATTATCGATGCGTATCAGTCGACTTGAGAGCCAGAAACCGAAAGCGGAGAAACGCATCGATACTGTGGAAGGCGTAGCTCAAGCTGTCTGTGAGTCGCAGATCTGTCGATTATAGTTGTTGGAGATAGAGGAAAATTTTAAAATATGTATTGTATTCGGCCAATCATTACCAAATCAGAAAATTTAAGAGAAAGCTAAGAAACAAAACAGACAGCTATGTTCAAAATCAAATTCTAAGAAACAAGAAAGTTTCCGAAATCATGAAGAACCTTAAAGAAAAACAAAGAAGATGTGTGACTTTCATTCAAATTTTCTTTCGCAGACAAACGGCGAAAGGACATTGCAAGATTTTCCGGTGCGCAAGTTGACGAGACTGGTATTGGCATTGGAGAGGTAAGCATTTTTTATCTCCTTTCATCGATATATCATTTTTAATTTGGCGCAATTTAGGACACAGTTCCTGTCGAATCGTCCGACCGCGATTGGATGTTCATGCCAGTTTTATTCATATGCGCGTTTACTATTACCGCTCTCGTTTCGGTGTTAGCGGTGAGCCATACTCCCCGAACAAGTTCTTTGTCGAAGAAATACAAAGAATTTCGAAAAATTCCTATTTGAGGTTCATCTCATGAAGAATCGTCGCTATTACAACAACAATATCACGCATAATATTGACGATATCGAGGGAAAGAGCAGCCTTGCCTATCAGGTATATTGTCAAGAAATTGTGAGAAACTTAGGGATAGTACAACTACATTGCTTTAAGGAGCTTTGTCGCCAGCGAATTGCCCAGGAACCTCCTGGTTCTGGACGTGGAAGCAAGAGCTCGTCCACATCAAGTTGGTGTGAGGAAGCCGTACAACAGTCTAGCATCGATATCTCAACCGGTCATGTGATTTTGGTAGGCCCACCATCAAAAGGAATTGAGATCAAATAGTTTCCAAGTCTACCAGGGGAAAAATTTTGGTTTTGAATTTGAGTGCTATATTTTCAGAATTTCT